TCGTTTTGGGGAAGAAAAAATGCGTCTTACATGCTGAAAAATACGGTAAATTGGGAGAAAGAAAAAGCCCTTGGAGGGGTAGGAGGCCATTGAGGCAACCATTAGGACTAGATTCATTGATTGGCTTGGGGAAAAATCTGACAGGTGTTGATGGCAGCCTTACTTGACTATTTGATGATCATGGAACCATTGGATCCTGTATCCCCTCGACCTGACTGTGCTTACACTTTGTCAACTCAAGGAGATGATATCTCTGATCATGACTGATTTATGATAGCTATAACTGCACTAAAGTTGGGGCCATATTATTAACTCATAATACAGTGGCTGACCCATTTATCCCAGCATTACATGCAAGACTAAACAGGGACAAAGGAAAGACTGAACACGGCCTCATTCTCTGCTGAAACCAGATTAAGGTGACTATGATGGTCATACTAAAAAGCTACACAATGCAAAACACACCCAATGGTTTAACTCTAAATCTGTCCTATTTTGCCACAGCTTTTTAATAAAGGCATCTTTCAGTTAACAAAGCCTCTGACATCAAAGCTGGTTTTTACAAAGTTTTTAAAATGACTTCCCAGCTTCCCTTTTCCTCTTTATGTTCTGTCTAGCTGGACATTTGTTATTTTTATTTTATTTTTTTCAACATTGGCATTGGGAAGATGGTGAAAGAGGGATGGAGAAACACAGACTTTCAGTGTCAGATTGGAGCAATAGAGCTTGAACTGGGGAAGAATGGGATCCTACTGTAATTGTGTGTTTCCTACAACAGTCAAGGTAAGGAACATGCTCAATTTTTTGAGCATGAGTAAATACAAAAACAGAGGAGAAAGCAGATAAGCCTGCTTCACCAGTTACCTTCAGCATGTCTTTTTTAAAAACAAACAAACATAGATCTGTAAATTTGGTTATCCAAATGTAAATCGCAAGTAAAGTGGAGGCTGGTGAAGGGGAAAAAGTCCCCTTTTCTTTTTTGTGGTACAGAAACCTGCCCCTATTCTTTCCATGTTATTTCTGTCTCTGGGTCCAAATTTTCTGTTAAAGAAATAATTTCCAGGAACATATCTCCTTCATTAACTGAAGCATAACTATATATAGATTTTACCCTCTTTCTCCATTTGGCTTATGCATGCAAGTCAGTAATGGAGGACAGCAGAGCATTTATTTATTTTTCCTCTGTTGTTCATCGCTAAAAAAAAAAAAAATCTGATACAGTAATACAGAAAGTAACACGTTAAAGGAAAAGAAACTACAGTAGTACCTTTCTATAAAATCTCTTTCACAAAAATCCTGGAAGATACATACACTTTGTAGTCTTGCTCAGTTCATAGGTAGAGACTTCCCTCTTGTGGTTTACAGTGCAAATGCACATCCCAGAGGAAAACCTATGTACCGTACATTTCTGGCATACAACAAGATATCCCTCTGGTCACTGTGGAACAGGATCTACGTATTTTCAGTACTGCAGAAGCCAAGACTATAAAAAAAGATTTTACCACACTATTTTCTAAAGTATGGGACAAACATTTTCTCTCTCAGAAAATCTGAAAAGGAAACAAGAGCAGCACTGATGGGAAGAAATAGAAGAAGTAATTCAACCTCTACTAGGAAACAGCAGTACTGTAGCCCAATGTGTTTTGAGTAAAAACTCTTCTTTTGCAATAACTCTCCATTCAGTCACGTAACATTACTCCTGCTTGTCTCTGAGACTGGTTGAGCTAGTTTAAGGACTTTAAAAAAAGGTTAGGATGGCTAATATGAGCAAAGGATTGTAAAATTGGAATTACACAATTGATTGCATTCCTCATTGTGTGAAAATGTAAGAGTGGGTTTCTCACTAGTGGAAGTAACATGCATTTCAAAGTATGTATTGTAAGTGTTCACTGTCCAAGCACACTAAGTATGCTTTGCAATTCTTTCATTTTTAAAGATCAATCTGGTTTGTCATATAGTGTACCCTAGTCTAGGTACTTTGACTATGCCAACATTCATCCCAGACAGAACCCAGAATTGACTGACAAGTGGCAAGGACCCTCAGTCTAAGAGATAGAGGCAGGGAACATAGTGTAAACTCATGCAAACCTAACCTGCCATAGGGTTTTGAAAGTGGTATTAAGAGATTTTTCTTGGCCATTTTGTATGAAGTTATCATTACCATGTATTTGCAGTAGCCTCATGTGGTTCCATAAAAAATCTTGCATGTGTTGTGCATGTGTGAAAGGACCAAGGACACCAGATGTCCAGAACGCTTGTACTTTTTAAGTTTCACTTATAAACAAAGAGTCTGAACCAAATACTAGCTTCAGACTCCATTATCATCAGTCTTCCTTCACAACTTGATCAACAGCACAATTCCTTTCTTTTGAGAGACTGTGGAAGTATGTTACAACTAATGTTCTTTAAACCCTAATTGTAAAACCCTAATTGTAAAAGAGCCTCAGTTTAGATGTAATGGCAAGCTATAGTTTCTGACCTATGTGAAGTAACTGTGGCAAGCCTTAAGCTCACACAGTAATACCTTCCCTCTCCTTCTCTTTCATACCTGTACTGAAGGCAATGGAAAGTTTTATTTCCAGTTTTATGCAACCCACAGTCCCTTGTGACATCCATTCTCATAAAACTATAGTTTCTTTTAAACAGGTGAATAAACACAAGTCAGTTTCAAGAACCACATTTTGATCTTGGCTTGTTTTCACTGGCTAAAATTAGTATACAAAGGGATCTTTGAGACTGTGTGAAAGAAGTTGTACCATTTCTCAGATACATGGAGTGTATGTTTTTGCTGTTGTTGTGTGTCTTCAAATCCTTTCCAATTTATGGTGACTCTAAGGCTATGCTATTACAAGGTTTTCTTGGTAAGGTTTGTTCAAAGTGGTGTTTCATTTCCCTTCCTCTGAGGCTGAGAGAGTGTGATTTGCCCAAGGTCATCCAGTGGGTTTCTATAATGGAACAGGGATTTGAACCCCGGTCTCCAGAGTCCTAGTCCAATGCTCAGACCACTACACCATGCTGGTGCCCATAAAAGTAGTTTGTACTTACTAGGAATAAACCCCACTGCACCTAGTGAGATTTACTTCTGGGGAAAGATGCATAAGAATGCACTATTTGTCCGCATAACATCTCCATCCAGCTTTAAAAAGTTGTAGAAAAGGCTTCTTCTTTTTTTTTTTTTACCAGGAAGAACTTCCTTCCCTGGGCCACTTTCTGGTTTAGTTTCTAAAATTCTAGTTGATTCAACCAATATCTACTGAGATAAATTATAATAGGGCTCTTAGTGCAAAACAATATTATCTTCAAACTGAACACAGTAAGTCTAAAAATAATTCTGAAGATAACCATTTCAAGTGTTTCCAGTTTTAAACTCTCATGTGCCCATTTCAAATAATGATGAGTACTAAACACCTAGAGAGATACCATATTTCTAAGAAAATAAAAATATTTAGCAAGTCATAATTTAAAAAGTAAATGCTTTCATACACCAAGGCAACAAAAACATGCAATCCTAAAAATGCAACCATTGACATATATGCTCAGAAATAAGTCTCATCTTTTTCAAAGGAAAAGCACACACAGAATTACAGCTCAAATTGTACTACATGTGAGTGCAGTGAGGAGAGAATGTGTTACTAAGTTTTTGTTACACTAGCTAGAAGTATCAAGTCTGAGAGGAGATTGCTATACAATGTTTAAACGTCAGGCTGGCAGACAGTGGTTAAACTTTTACACCTTATGCTAAAAGACAATATGAAAGGTTTCTGCTTAGAAAAAGAATCCGAATGAATGAAGTCTGATTAATTATCCTTTGGATGGAAAACAAAGGGTGATGAATTCTGCACACAAAGAATTTTGTTGACTGAAGGTTTCCAACTGGAGCTATATAGTCAATCAGCCTAGAGCAGCTGGGACCCTTAGCAGTTACTAAAGAAGGAAGAAATAGTTGAAAGTACACTTGTCCTTCCACATTTGCAGCTTTGACGTTTGCAGAATTGATTATTCACGGATTTAATTAATACGTTCTCTCTAGGAATATCTATTCTAGGTCCTCCAGCACAACTCTATGGTCAACTTTAACCAAAAGCTCCACTGAAGGATCCAGAGATTCCTAGAGAGAACACTCCACTAGGCATTTGTAGTTCCTCCAGTGCAATTCTATGGCCAATGTCTGGCAGATGTTGACCACAGAAATGTACTGGAGGACCTAGAAATTACTAGAGAGGTGTTCTCGCAGGTAAAAAAAATAGTGCTTCTGTTATTTGCAGTTTTCTCACATTTATGGGGGTCCTATGTCCCTAACCCTAGTGAAATGTGGAGGGACAAGTGTAGAACCGAAGAAATCTCTGAACACTTCATAACAGCAACATTGTGCAAAGTGAATCCTGAAGAGTGCAGAACAAGGATGAAATCACTCAAGAGAACATCTAGAGAAGATGGGGGCAGGAAAACTCCAGAGGGGACCTTTAATCATGGGGTCCCTGGCCAGATCTCCATGACTGAACACATGGAGCTGGGGTCAGATGATATCAGGGGTCATAGCAAGACCCCTGACACAATAACATTGCCATCTCACCAGATACCAGAAGTTCCCAGCCACAATGCTGGAGACAGCACTGTAGTAGGGAAGCAAATTTTGTTGCCTATAAACTCAAGTGCAGGTTTCCATAACTCTCCTGAAGCCAATGTTGCCACCTAAGAAGCTTTTTCACCTCCATGCTTTTTCTGATGTGGGAAAGCATGGAATGGGTGAAACCAATGGCAGTGCAGGATGCAATGATGCTCTTGAATCCAGCACCAGGGTCAGAGTAGTTTTGGCTGCCCTGTGAGTTCCTTTCTTGTGGAGAGTACAGGTTGGGCAAAGCTGTCATCATTCTGACCTGAGATCAAAACCAACAGCAAGGATGCCCTTGCATGCTGTTGACCTTCTGAACCAGGGGTAGGCAACCTAAGGCCCGGGGGACCGGATGCGGCCCCCTGAGGCCTTTGGACTGGCCCCAGGCTGGTCCCCCCATGATGATATTGATTATTGTTGTTATTACTTGTTCTTGGAGTTTTCTTGGCAAAATCTCCACTGGGGTTTTGCCATGGCTTTTCTGGGGCTGAGAGAGTGTGCATGCATATTTTTTAAATTTTTAATTTTTTTTAAAAAAAAATAAATTTCTATTTATTTATTTTTGGTGCTTCGGCCCCCCAATTGTCTGAGGGACAGCAACCCGGCCCCCAGCTCAAAAAGGTTGCCTATCCCTGTTCTGAACTATGGCCCCTCCAAAGGTTGCTGGACTACAATTATCATCATCTCATCTTGTACAAAATTAGTTATCTTAAAACACAATGCTATGTATGTTTACTCACCAAGTAAGGTTCACAGAACTCAATTAAATTTATTATTGAGCATAGGAATAAAGTAACCTTAATTTATTTACAGAAAGATTAAATTCTGTAATCCCTTAAGCATTGTTTCCATCCTTTGGTCTTCCAGGTGTTTTGATATTCTAGAATCCCTGACCACTGGTTGGGCCTTCTTAAGGTGAAGTCTAAAACATCTGAAGGAAGAAGGATTTTTCTTTGGAAAACATGATTTGAATAGGTTGAACATCAGTTACCAGGTAAAAAGACTGCACTGCACTGTGTCAAGCTGAAGCAAATTTCTGTTTCATTAACATTGGTAAACTGAACTGCTCTGGTCAGTATTCCAACACATGTACAATACAAACTTTCTCATGTTGAAATGTAGACTTTTTGGTATTTAAGAAAGTGCAAAGTATATTGCCGGGAGAGTACAGAAATCTGTTCAGTAGAGTAAAATCCACAGAGAATCCCTAATAACTAATGAAAAACTACTTACCATGCTAAATTATGAGGAAAGAAATGTATCAGGGTGGTTGGGAGGCAATACTAAGCCTAGCTTTCATTGACTCATAACTGAGAAGGGGTAGATTTCTATAAAAATAAAGCAAAAAAAAAAAATTGGCTTTATTAAAGGAAGATTCCCCCTTTCCCCTAAATTGAATGATATCTCTACTACACATACTGTACAGAAATATGCTGCACAAGCCTAAGTACCGTACATTTATTGTGTGAAAAGGAGCTCACTCTCTAGTACATTTAGGACTTCAGTATTGATTAGGAACAAAAATTATGGCAATGTAAAATTGAAGAAACAGAAGCTAGAAGTCTTCGGTGTCCCAGTTTTCTTTACTCAACCTTCATTGCTTGGCACTCTAATGCAAGCAGAGGCACTGCCATTGGCTTCCTGGAAATGTGCCATATTCCATTAAGAACCTCTGGGTTTCTTTCCAAAAATCTAGACAAACTAGCCTTTATATTTAGCTGAAACTGATGTCACTGATTGCCTGTTCATGCACCCCCTGCAGGGAGGAGCAGTCTACACAAATGCTTACCCATTTCTGAATGCTGAAAAATTAAGTCGCAACCATTATTTTGCTCCCACCTTTATACTATATACACACACACACATATCACTAAAATTAGCTTATTCTCAAACTCTTATTCTGGAATGCTTTTGTGATTAGAGAAGAAGGGCCTTTACAGACTGCCAGAAATAATGCAGCTTGAGGCCACTTTAACTGTCCTGGCTCAGTGCTGAGGAATCATGGGAACTTAGTTTATTGTGGCACCAGAGCTCTCTGACAGAGAAGGCTCAATGTCTCAGAAAAAACTACAATTCCCATGATTCCCTTTCACTGAGCCCGGACAGTTAAAGTGGCCTCAAGCTGCATTATTTCTGGCAGTCTGTAAAGGCCTGAAGGTAACTTTCCTGTTAAGATCAGTAAAAAGATGCTCCTTTCATTTGGATGCTGCAACTTCTTAGCAAAATGCAACTAATTTTGATCATACAATGATCTACACTACTTGCTTTTCTTCAGATGTCATCCTCTTAAGCAAACTGCTCACATTTGCTGAGCCAGGAATCATCTAGTGCTTGACAAGTCATTTGCTAAGTTCATGGGCTACGCTAGAAGATATGACTTTATGAATCTCTGAAACAGTCCCATGCTTTCCATTTGGAGCTTTCCACCCTAGACAGTTAAAGCAGTATGATTCCATTTTATCTGCCATGAACACATCTTGTGGATTCCTAGGGCTTGTACTTTGAAGGTACTAGAACCCTTGCAAATCCTAGGATTCCATAAATCAGAACCATGGAACCTTTCACACTACAATTATAGCACTATAATTTCTTTTTAGCTGCTATGGTTTCATAGGATGCAGCTGTGGCAGGTAAAATGGAATCAAAGCACTATAATTGTGTGGTCCTTAGTTAGGGCAGAGGTAGGAAATTGGTGCTAAAATATAATATTTTTAGTGTCAAAATTGGGGAAGGGCTGTGACAACTGAAAAGGTGAATCACTGCTACTCAGACTTTCAAGCCAGGCAAATCACTCCTATTTCCCCTGAATAAAGGGCAAATTGGAGGAGTTTGTGAAAACAATGGCTGCAAAAACTGGCTAGTGGTGTATGAAACCTCAGGGCTCCATTTTGCATCACCAGAATTTGAGTTCTACAACAGCTAGTAATCCTGTTTGAAGCCAAGCATTTAGTGAACAACCTTGATCCTAGAGATTCTATCCCAAGGTCCATAAGAATGAATGAAAACCCCTTTAAGTAAACAAAGTGCAAACCTAGACGCACATGCAACCCCACATCCCCAGGGAGTTGTCCCAAATCCCTGACACCAAATGTCTCCTTTTAGAAAAAAATTGAGATAATGAAAAATTGTCCATAGCTGCCCAAACTGCTGTAAAAAAATGCACAAAAATGCTGCAGTTGGACTTTAGTGGTCTCCTCCAAGCCTCCAGAATAATCATAATACACTCAAGTGGTCCAAAGTACCAATCCTAGAATTGTTTTTAAGGTGAGGAGGCTCAACATTGGCAGGAAGATCATTAATAATTTTGCCCATTTGCAGGTACATTTTTACAAAACAATGAAAACACAGAAAGCCTACCTACCTGTACAGATTTTGATCATTAGTTATACTTTTGATTGATAATTCCTC